CTCTTTTCCCAATTAACGATAATACAAGTTTCTTCACGCTCGTGTACGAATAATAAATACGGGAAGTCTGTGGAAATGACTATTTCGCCCTGATCGTTCCGCCGTTAAATACCCTCCGTTTCCGTTTGTTATTGCTGATGAGCGTAATGAAGCGGTAGTTACGTCGTTAATTCGTTCATAAATACAAGGGCGTGTTTGGGTTCCATTATTATCGTTATTATTGCCCATTTTTTAATAAGTCAGAATTCAATAAAATTATTCAATGTATTATTATTACTACTACATATTGTTCTTGGTTTGTTTGGTGTCATAATGTAAATAAATTCCTTTACCAATAAAATTATATTTTAATATTATAAATAAATAAATAAACTACACTTATTTCAATTTTATTATATTGAATCTTAGACTTAGATTTAGATAAATGGCATCCTTTAATTTTAATAAAGAAAAAAAACAATATAATAATTTCTATAATAAATGCATAGATTAATGATTAATTAACTTTAGAAAACTACCTATTTTTAACCCTCTTCCAAAACTAAACTTACTCCATGGTAAAAAACTTGTCATTACTTTGGAGAGTAATATTATTTATTGAGAATTTTTCTACCCTATTTGCTAGCCAGTTGAACTCTAAACTTAATTATAATATAATTCAATCGTGGATCATATGTCGTGATATAATTTAAATATTTATTTTAGTTTTATAAAATGAATATTTGCGCAACACCAATAGTTTCTTCTTTTTTTTTTTCTAATGTTATAATATTTGAAACTTTATTGAAATTAATGACGTGGTAAATAAGAACAGCTATACACATGGAATAAAGTTGTAAATGTATCTCATTTTCCTTTTATTTTTCAAGGGAATTATTATTTATTGTCTTTACTCTCTTTTTTTTCCACTTTTTTGGAAATTAGAGTGGGCCTGAAGAATCCACGATGCCTTCTTTTATTATTTATTTTAAATTCCTTGCTATTTTATTTAAATTAAATATATTATATCTTAGAAAGATAGTACCACTGAGATTTGTTGTATAATATCTAATTTAAAAAAATAATAATAATTAGTAATTATAATATAGGTTTCACGTCATAGTATTTACAGATTTTAAATACAAAATAGCCTACCAAAACAGTAACACGCCACGAATTAACAAATACACATAATTGAATATATTTTAATAAACATTATGAGATATTTTATGAAAAGGACAAAGAAAAACACATTGTTGAATTACCAATTTAGTCCTCAATAAAAATATTTTCTGAACATGTATATAAGCTTCTAGACGTTAATGTATTCAATTTATTTAAAATGAGGGATTTATTGGATGAAAATTAAATTTTATGGAAAATTGATGGAGTAATAAGGAAGGGTATATACGTCTTTTTGACAATAATGAAAAGAAATAAACATGATTATTATTAATTTTCAACCGAAGACTTTATTGTCGAATATTGAAGAGAGTGTGAAGGGGGGAGTAAGGGTAATATAGTCATTTGCGGGGGACTGCTTCTTTCGCCGTTTAAGTTGGCGAAAATTTGTCGACGTGAAAGGGCGCGAATGGGGGAGGGGCGGTGGCGAAATGTGGGCCAGAATTTAAGGGCCGGGCCCACATAAACTGTCCGGAACCATTCTCTGTGAAATGACGGAAATGGTATTGGAAAAAACAGCTTTATTTCCAGATTCTAAGGGTAGAAGCGTCATTCTGTAGTAACTTGAATTTTTCGATTATATTGTTATTATTATCTTTATTTTGAGAAAAGTGAAAAATCGTCGCCGTCAGAGAAATTTGAGACTGTGGCAGAGACCAGGCGCCCCCAAGTCACGTGCTTGCCTCGTGGAGAACCAATGAATAAAAACGGGTCTCTTAAAGGCCCAACCGGTTATATGATTACATCTTATTTTCATTTATTATTAATTTTTTTCCTCTCCTCCCTTACAAATAATACTATTTTTTACACCTCCCATTAAAAAAAAAAAAAAAAAAAAAAACCCAAATTTAATATTAGTTTACTTTTTTATTTTAAAAAATATATCAATTCTTTTTTATGTTATAAATCTCAAGCTACATTTAAAAAAAAAAAAAAAAAAGTTTTNTTTTTTTTTTTTTTTTTTTTTTTTTTTTTTTTTTTTTTTTTTTTTTTTTTTTTTTTTTTTTTTTTTGTCCAATTTATAATTTTGGAAGAAAATCTAGCACAAGAGTGCACTAAATCAATTTCTTAAATAATAGCATAACCAAACTAAAAGACTTTTGTTATATATAGAATTGTGCAAAAAAGGACCTTAAAAAGTAATTTTTACCGAACAAAAATAAACTTTTTGAAAATATAAATATTAAAAAAGAATAAATTTTGGAAGTATATGAACTAAAATGAATAATAAAAAAAACGATAGGCATAAAACAATTAACTTAACATTGTGTCATATATAACATGTCATGTCATTATTTCGAAGTAGAAAACATTCTTTAAAGAAATTAAATAGATACAATAATGAATGGATAATGTAACTTTAAATATAGATATTTAAACGTCGATGTAAACATAATTGAAGTCTTATTAGTCAATCAAAACATATATTGAGTGGATATTTGGTAGCAGATTAGTAAAAACACGTAGAATAATTATTGAATAAAGATTTATTATCGTTAGATAGACCCCTATTTGTAAAAGATGGACTACCCAGATAGACGTTAAGGTGAAAACATAGGGTCCAATGGCATCACACTCATATACGATTGCACCAATGATATACTTAATATAAATACACGTTTTGATATATCATACACATGAGTCATCTGAAATAGATGTTGATATATTTAATAGATATACTTGATTTAACGTACCATTAATGTATTTTATTTCATACATAATTGATATATTTAAAAAAATTTATTCACTGTAACCGAAGAAAGGTGAAACAAGACTGAGAGTGAACTCCTGAAACTTGTCTCTCTTCTTTAACTCTTTTACTGGGTAAAGCGCTATTTGACGAACCTGAACGGGACCCTTCTCTTCTGGAACTCCCCTTTTCTTCTCCAACTGGGGTTGAACTATCTATGTCTTCTCTCCCCTTCCCCGTAACCTGATTTGACTCGGTAAAGCGGGAGAAACTAGAATTGAAATAATTAAAAAAAATATATATTTATATTTTTCCATATTAGCAAAACTAAATGGATGATGCTATATTTACAAATATGATAATATTTTAGGTGAGAAATAATAATTAAAGAAGAAGAGGGGTAAAATGGTCCAGGGGTGATTAATTTGAGCCTACGAAAAGTGTTGGGCAATGCCTAATAAATGAGGAAAATCAAGAGTGGGGCCCAAGATAAGGAAAGACGGTACCATAGAGAGAGAGAGAGGATAAAAAAATAAAATAAGAAAATAAGAAAAATGGAGTTTTTTTTAAAAAAAAAATATATATATATATATTAATTTTAAACCCTAAAATATCCTTCTTCCTGTCCCTCTCATTGGACGCTCTCCTTCTTCCTGTTGTCTGGTTCACGCGCTATCTCTTTTCGTTTATCGACGCGCCATACTTCTCCAGCCACGTGTCGCGAATATCGCTCGTCTTTTCCTATAAAGTACGTGAATCTTGGACGAAGGCCACCATTGATCCTCTACTCTGTTTACACCTGAACTCGGATGTAATTATTTCTAATTTTCGCAATTAATTATTCATAATCAAATTAGTTACTAAAGATTTCCTCTAAGAAATAAAATTTTATTCTATAGTCCGTGTAATGATTTCAATTTGATGCATTTTATTATATGAAATCAAGATATTGATTAAGGATTAAATGTATTTATCAAATAAATAAATAAATAAATAAATAAACTTAATTTTATTTATTTATGGGAGGGTGGTGGGACAAAGAGGTCAAACAACGAAGTGGTAGCATTTGAATTTTGACCACTTGACTGACTCTTATTACTCTATATTTCTTTATGTGGGAATATTGTATTCTTCATTTTTAGTTCACAATCTTCACACGCAATAAAGACAGCTCCTTGCATGCACTTTCTTCCTCTACTCCTTCGTTCCTCATTATTTATTATTATTATATTATATTTTCTCTTTATAATCAAATTGGTTCACTTTTCACCCTTTACGGCATCATTTTTTTTTAGCAGTGCCGTGAGAGGGGATAAGTCGTAGAGGAGAATTTTGTTTTGTTTTTACACACACACACACACACACACACACACACACACACAAAAGAAAAAAGAAAAAAAAAGGGGGTCTGAAGATAAGAATTTGGGTGGGAGAATGAGATAATCCAACTCTTTTAATGGCTATTGAATTAGAAGATAAAATGAATATACACCAGCAATTACATGGGGTTTCCTTTTATAAACCCCCCATTAATGGGTAATTCCCTAAAAGAAGGAAATAGAGCTTAATGGGTAATCATCTAAAAGAGGGAAAAAGAAGGCGACGCTAGCAAGGACAAACAGGAAACAAATGGTGGAATAAGTCAAAACATTCGCAGGTTTTGTGGGATTTTGTTAAAATTTTACTTTTAACATCCCATGATATCGAATCCCACACCTTACTCTCACAGTTTATTTGCCTCACAAGAGAACACAAATGATGTTTGATTCAAACTTAAACTTAACTTTTATAAACCATAATTCCCAAGACCAAACAGAAATTGAACCAAACCATCTACAAATAACGTAAACTTCTTCATCTCAAACTCCACAAAGCCTACACTTTATTAGCCAAACGAATTGGAAATTATTCGTATTAGAGGTTTGAATTCGACACACTTTAGGCTAAACTCATACCTAAAATTTAAATAATACCAAAAGTTTTCTCCCCATCAAGCCATCTCAAAGTGGTGGTTTTTGGGGATGATCAAATTGAAAAAAGATTAAGGAGGAACTAAAGTATAAAATGAGATGAAAGAGGAAGATGCTGACAAAAGCATAATTAGCATGGTAATGTTAAAAGACAGGCAGTTGGCAGTTGGTCAAGGAAGTTAAAGCAAACATCAATTATTGAAATGAATAGGTCAAGTAAAGCAGCAGAAGGCAGTACTCAAATCATGGCTGAAGGTTAAAAAAAAAAAAAAAAAAGTTCATAATAAAGGTCGCCTTCAAACCACAGTTTTTGGTACTATAGGGATATTCAATATTTATGGTCCTCAACTTTAGACCAAAATAACCAAAAGGATATAGGAATGGGTCATCCAACAACTCTTTATTGCTTCTAGTCAAAAGCAGGCTATGACGTATCTTAGCTGCCGCTTCTCACGAATCATCCAAACATTCTATTCCTAATTTTGTTTTTAAAGCCTAAATCAAGGAGGATTACAAGCGCAAAGGGAGGGCAAGGTTGACAAATGGGATGATGATTTCGACATTAAATTGCAGAATCCGAATGTACAGGATTTTACTGTGTTGCTGACCCCGTCCAAAAAGAAACTGTCACCCACAAGATAGTTTTTGTTTTGGAGATTACTTTGTGGTTTATTGGTAATTATCAAGAACATTCTAAACAGAAAAAGGATCAAGAAACTCCCATATTTTGGAGTGAAATATGCTCTAAAGTTTGGAAGTCTCCGTCTAATAAGATTGACATCAAATACTTGACTGATGCGTTAGTCAGTCCTTTCTCTCACTGTCTCACGGCTCAATGCCACCAAATGGCTCACTCTCTAGACACTACCCCCCATGTTCTCCATTGTCGTTCACTTCAAAGTCAGACTCATTTGCAAGTGAAGATGCTATTTCAAAGCTTGTTCCAGGGTACAAGGGCATCCTAAAGTTCATTGTAACCATTTTAAAGAACACAGGCTTCCAGAGCAATGATTGGTTCGAGGAAATATTGACTATCACAAATAGGGTATGGATAGAGGAATAGATGGTCACCAAAGGCTAGGGATAAAATACCCCACCCAGGTTTTAGATGGGTACACGTAACCTTAACTCAAAAAGACCCATCTGTGTTGTATTTTCCTAACACGTGGACTATTGTGAACATTACATACAATTGAGCTAAACGTGCATCTCTATAGAATTTCTATTCCTAAATGGTCAAATGAACTTCTTAAACCGCAAGAACCAGCACCTTAATTGTTCCCTGGCTGTTAGCAGTGAGGATAGTAGGACTGTTACTCTTCCAGCAAACAGCACTGATGAAATAAGATCCCACATCATCCTCCACATCGGCTGCATCTGGTGAGCCAAATCTATGCCATGTCAGAGGTCTGGATATTTCCTGATACAGAGGCAAACCCTGTGTTAGTTCTAGGATAAAGAATGGAGAACCACGGTTTTGAATATAACTAACCTTGTGGTAAACAAAGATTTCATTTGTTTCACTACCACAAGCAATGTATTCTCTATTTACTGTGAGACCAACAAAGTTTTTCTCATTTGTATGACCTCTAAAGGTACGAACCTGTCGTAACAAAATGGATGAAGTCAGACAATTCTTCAACAAATTTTTTAAAACTGGAATGCATGCATTATATATATATATACTCACTGGCAGATTTTCCTTTACATCCCACAATCGTAAGGTGCTGTCTGTAGATGCAGAGGCTAGCTCACTGTTCGATAAAAATTTTACATATGAGACAGCTTTCTTGTGACCAGTGAAGACGTGAAGTGGATGGCTGATTTTTCTTAGGTCATAATAATGAATATTATGATCTGCTGAACCAACCTGAAGAATAGCCAACGATTTCATGCCTCAAGTCTCCCTTTTCATTATTTATTTTAAAGAACCAACAACAAACCGGAACCATGGAGCAAATGATCCGATCACAGAACAAAAAGATGCATGATAAGCAAATATAGACAAAAGATAGATACATTCCTAAGCAGAAATGAAGTGTGATGCTCCAATAGGAACTTCAACAGCAAGTGCAAAAGGCAAGAATAAACTCCAGAAAAATAAATTGAAGGAGCATACTGCAATGTGATTGCTGGATCCAGGATTGAATTTGACACAACAGATATTGGCCTTCATGTCGATATCAAGGACACTGTTCTCCTGCTTCATGCACCAAACTTTGACCTGCATGTTAAATTGAAAGCAGATGCAGCAAGTCATTATGAAACAGTCAACCCATAACCATCATAAGATTCCACTAAAAATCAAGTTTATTTTGTCTGTCCGCCCCCCAACCCCAACTAGGACAATGCTATCAAGTTGAGATATGTCCTGCCCAAATTTCACCTTTCATTTAAATTCTGATACAGTTACTCTGGAAATCCTCCTGGCCCTAAAACTAAATATTGGCCAATTGAGTAAAATAATTCTTGATAAGGCTCAAAGTTGTAGGTTTGAGAAAGGTAAGTTAACTGAAGAAGGGAAAGGTACGAGGATGTTGTGAGAATGATACATTTTGAACATGCCAAATGCTAGGTATCGGTTGAAAAACATATTTAATTTGCTACAAAGTTTGTAGAAAATTTGAACAAATAAGAGACTAATAAAACCAGACACAGGACACCATTTCAAACTAGATACTAGTTATTTGTTCACAAAGAGGCTCCTACCATAATAAAGTGACAAAGGGTATTCGTATCTCAAGCAGAATTTTGTTCACACACCAGGTGTCCATATATTGCTTCCTTTCCTTCCCTTTTTTTTTGGGTGAAAAAGATTACAATCATGATCTCTAATGTTTATTTATTTATTTATGTAGTTTCTATCTTGTCCATATGATTTGAATGCATGGTGTACCCCTGATTTTTCAATAGTTCATACGCCAAAGGCTGTTAATTGATTGAAAACATTGACAATCACAAACTTTTATTTTGACTGGGTCGATTTAAGGGCACTTTTATCCTTTTTCAAATGAATAACGATCAAGCTGACAGAACAAAACTTGATCTTTACTTTTTAATTAAAAAAAACAGTTAAAATCCAAACATCTGTTGTGCATATAAATGTGTTTGAAAATGCAGATAAATGAGGAACACAGATTTTTCAGCAGCCTATAATGCCAATGTTTTTGCAAGGAAATGGAAGCAGCAAGAAGATGACACAATCAAATAATGATGCTACACTAAGAGTACATCAAGAAGAATCTCATAATCTACAATCCACATCTATTTTGAAGCATATAGTGAACTATTTTATCTTTAAAAATACACAACACCCTGTTTGCATACAACCATGAACAAATAATTTTCTACAATAAATAAAAAAGTACCTTGCAATCATCACTACCAGACACCAACCTTGACGGTTCGGTACATGAAAAATCAACACTCCAAGCACGTTTTTCATGCTCTTCATACTCCAACACACTCTGAGACACAATGTTAGACAAGTAAGCTATTCTAGTATAAACTCCTGATCGGATAAGAGAAAAGTAGTAAATGTTAAATATAAGAAACCATGTGGTTATAATTTACCTGCCCTCTATTTACATCCCAAACTGTTACCACACCCTCGTAGTCGCTGCTAGCTATAATGTTTTTTGATAGTTTGTTCCAACTCAAACAACTTAGTTTTGCACGTGTTGACATTTCCACTATAGGACAGTGGACATCAGTAGATTCATTTACAACCTATAAAAAAACAGCAAGAAGGTTACGAAGGTCATAGAAAAGCTGCATAGCTTCATAAATAGACCTTTCATCATCATCATCATTGGTACCATAAAATGACCGAAGTACAGCAATCATAGTCCACCGACAAGCTCTCACCAAACAAGGGTTAATCAACTCCAAAACCCCGTTCTTTAAATCATTATTGATACAAATTCCTTATAAATTACGTCAATAACGGTAACGACTCATGCCTAGAATTCGAAATTCGGATTCAGCACCTGATGACCCTGACATTACCTTGCAACATAATCACATTACTTACTTCTTGCTCCTAAGAGTGAAGATTATCCTCACAGACCAACACAGGCCCTTCCAATATGCTATGCCCTCACTCACATGCATCCTAAGAAAATTCCTCAGAGGTCACCCAACGTAAAATTGTGGTAAGTAAAGCATGCTTAACCATAGAGTTCCTATGATTGAGCTACCGAAAAGGAATGTGCACTTCTATTCTCAGGATAACTCTCATCCAGATGTGGTCATAGTTCATTCATGTACTCTATCTCTACTCGGGTCTCACATGCTCATTAGCTTCCGCCTTGATTCGCCCCCGAACCATATCTTACTGGGAGAAATACCACTCTGATACCATTTATAATGGTCCATTCCTAGGATTTGGATCAGGATACAAAATCCGGATTCAACACCTGAGTGACCCCAACATTCCCATGCATCCCCTATGACATAGCCATATTACTTACTCCTTGCTTCTAAGAATGAACACTATCCCCACAGACCAACACAAGTCCTTCCAACATGCTTTGTCATCACTCACATGCATCCTAGGAAAATTCCCAAGAGATTACCCAACATAGAATTGCTTCAAGTAAAGCACATTTAACCATGGAGTTCCTATGATTGATCCATCGAAAAGGAAGGTGCACCTTGTTGGTATAGGTAGTGAATTTTAATTCTTTTAAGCCTTTCTTGATCATCCTATCCTCAATATCGCTCTCTTCTAGATGTGGTCTTGGTTCATTCATGTACCCCTCCTATACTCGGGCGTCACAGTAATTGTTATGTGGAGAGAAAGATCATATTATGGCAATACTTTTACCAAATCAACCATAGTGTGTGCTAATAGCTAGAAAATAATTAGGGGCTAGGATTTGACATGTTCACTGAATACAGAGAATGATTAGGAGGAACATCACAAGACAAAAAATCAATGAGTAAAGGCATCTAAACATAGACATTACCGAAGAGAAGTCGAACACTTTTATGCATCGAGAAACTCCAGCAGTAGCGAATAATTCATCATCTCGGTCAAATTCAATGCTGAAATATGATAAAACCAAACAATCAACTCAAGGAAACTTGAGGAACATGCTGTAGTAACAGCAATAATCCTGATGAACAATCTCAATTATATGACAAAATTCCAGATTCAATTTGCTTTGTCACTAATGAAATTAAATTTCAGAAATTCTTGACAGCCGGCTGCCTCCCTCACCTTGATACTATGTTGGTGGAGTGAAATATATCTCCATGTCTAAGTTCAGCAATGACTCTCAAGCGACTATTTATTCAACAGAAAGAAGTTACATTATGTTAGTCATGTCTGAAATTTTTGCCATAGTTTGCACCAAATATATACAATTCACTTAAGTGACAATAGCCTACATCAGCCTTCCTACCTGTATCGCGTGAAGGTAGTCAATACTGATTGAAAATCTGAAAGGCCTGCAGTATATCCTTCTCTGTGTATAACATTTTTATCCTTTTCCTGCTGGTCTAGCAGTTGATTTGGCAGCTGACGTCGCTTTTGCAGATAACATTCTTGTAGGTCATTGAACTGAAGCCACGGAAGGAACTAGAATCAGAAGAAAAATAATAGCGAAGAAGAGGAAGAAGAAAGGAAGGAAAGAAAATAGAGAAGAAGATGCAAAAGTAAACTCCATTAAAAGAAAGATAAGAGGAAACTTGGACCAAAAAAAGCCCAAGCAATAGAACCATGCAATACAAAGCTCTGAAGAAACCCAAGTTCCCCACCATTCATATACTACCAATCATCAATCGAAAAGGGAGAAAAAAGGAGAGAGAAACATTCTAAAATTTGTTATGGTGGAATCATAGAGCTGCTATGATTTGAAGTCAAAATCAGAGGAGGATAAATATTTGGTCTCTTGGTTTACATTTTGCTGTTGTGATTTTTATTTGACAAAATGTGTAGCAACCAAAAAGCCATAAACCGGAGCCCAAGAAACAGATTTTCTTTTTTCTTTCCCTCTCTCTCTCTCTCTTTTTTTTTTTTTTAAAGAGAAATAACTTCCATTAAAGTGAACGAAAAGTGATAACTATCATGACAAGCCAAAAGAGTTTAATCAAATCCACATAGACAAGAAAGGGAGTAACCAAAAAATTCAAGAGGATTCACCAATTCAAAATAACAAAACAACTTGGTCAAAATGCTCATCAAACTCCCTATGTTCATCATAATGCTAAGATTCTTCCTTCCTTCAAATAAACCAGAAATAAAGACAGTATCCAACGGAATTCCAGGTTTTCCTTCTCATTCTTAGGATCATGTGTAATTTCTTCCACCATATCTTTAGTTGAAAGCCCGTGGCTCCATGCTGAGTTAAACCTGTATTCCAGATTTCCTTTTCAAACTTGAAATAATCCCTGTATCCCACCAGTCTCCAATTAAATGGATTTTTGTAGCAGCCTAAGCCTAAGCCCAAGCCCACCCACTGCTAACCGATATTGTCCTCTTTGGGCTTTCACTTTCAGGCTTCCACTCAAGGTTTTTAAAACGCGTATGCTAGGGAGAGGTTTCCACACCCTTATAAATAATGCTTTGTTCTTCTCTCCAACCGATGTGGGATCTCACAATCCACCCCCCTTCGGGGGCCCAACGTCCTCACTGGCACTTGTTCCCTTCTCCAATCGATGTGGGACCCCCCAATCCACCCCCCCCCCCCNTGGGATCTCACAATCCACCCCCCTTCGGGGGCCCAACGTCCTCACTGGCACTTGTTCCCTTCTCCAATCGATGTGGGACCCCCCCCCCCCCCCCCCCCCCCCTTCGAGGCCCATCGTCCTTGTTGGCACACTGCCACGTGTCCACCCTCCTTCGGGGCCCAGTGTCCTTGCTAGTATGCTGCCTTGTGTCCACCCCCCTTTGGGGCCTAGCGTCCTTGCTGGCACACTGCCTCATGTCCACCCCCTTTGGGATTCAACCTCCTCACTGGCACATCGCCCGATGTCTGGCTCTGATACCATTTGTAACAGCTCAAGCCCACCGCTAGCAGATATTGTCCTCTTTGGACTTACCCTTTCGGGCTTTCCCTCAAGGTTTTTAAAACATGTCTACTAGGGAGAAGTTTCCATACTTTTATAAAGAATTTTTGTTTTCCTTCCCAACCGATGTGGGATCTCACAATTTTAGTGCAAGAGATGGCATATGTATGTCGCAAGAGGGTTTCCATGCAGCCAAGGGTCCTCCCAAACCTCACTGTGTTCTTATTTCCTGGTCTGAAACATGATAAGGAATTATCTAATAATCGACTAGTGCTAAAGAGAACAATTCTCCCTCAGACCCTCCATAGCTATTTTGAGACCAACTCCTTATTCCTAAGTCGCTTTTGGGCCTGATTTAATCATAGGGGGAGAAACAATTTTGCAAATTAACAAGATACTTTGCTTTACCTCAGTACTGTCTTTCCACAATAATTTTCTAGACATCTTTTCAGTCTCATCAAATCTGACACCCTTGATTGCGCTTCAAAAATTAGATAGGAATAAGGTTTTTTCGTTGAAAACTCTCTCTATTTCTATCATTAGCTGATGATCAAAGCAACAAGACCCATACCACTCTATTTGGAAAGGGAACTATCCAAGGAAGGTGAAAATTATCCTTTGGGAACTCAGTCTATCCTGCTTAAATACTTATGACAGGCTACAAAGAAGATCGCCATGGTTAAATATATCTCCTAGCTGTTGTTCCCTATGCAAAGAAGATGAAGAATCCCACGGCCACCTCCTCTTCATCTCGCGTCTTTTGGCCGGTTTTTTTTTTTTTTTTGGGGGGGGGGGGGGGGGAGACTTCATCCTGAAGGTTTTTAGTTGGCATGCTGCCTTTAGGAGTAGTATTGGGGACTTGCTCTCTGTTAAGCTTATTGGGATCCATTCAAGAAAGGGAAGAAGATCCTTTGGCTTAACTTCATTTAGGCTTTCTTATGGCATTAATGGTTTGAAAGAAACTTACATTTATTTACTGATCAAGAACAGATAACCAAGCTCTTCTCTTCTATTACTTGTTTATCTCGGTGTAAAATTAGCCTACTTTTGTAATTATGGTTCATCCTTCCTTTTTATCCCATTGGAATAGTTTTTTTGTAATCCATTGCACGGGATATCCTCTATTCTGTAATTTCATTCAATCAATGAAATGATATTGTTTCCTCTGGATTTTTTCCGACCAGTTACCAAAAAGAAGGCAGGATTCCCTCCAAACTCAAGGCCCAATTTCCTATTATATTAACTGAATTCTTTAGCCCCTGTGACTGAACAACAAATAGAAATATTGAGATTGTATAAACTCATTTTATGGAGAATGAAGAATCATAAGAACCGAGTTTGTTTATCAACAAGGGTACACTGTCAAGGATAGAATTCTAGGGCTTCCCCTCTCTCCCACAAGAAAACCTCATAAAATTCTTTGCAAAAAGATACCCCTCACAGCTATCTTCCTCCCCCTATAAACATGAACGCACTGCCCACACACGCACCTTCCTTGGGCCCACTTCTAACTAATTTGTAACAACATCTTCTTCCCCACTCTCCTTCATCACGTGTCTACTCCTATAACATACTTATTTAATCTAACCACTAACATTGAATATCGAGAACTGGAAATAACTATGCAGCGAGAATGGATGAACTCAGAGGTATATATTGAAGAATGAAACATGTCAAACAAAACCTGAGCATGGACCCGTTTTTTCCTTGCAACAGAAAGACCAGTATGATTCGCTTGTGGTTCTGGCCTATTTAATGCATCCTTTCTGTAGAGTCCATAAGTGCTGACTTGACTCCTTGAATCTGCTTTCTTATTTTGAAAATTTCCAGCAGATACAACACCCCAGGTGTTCAAAGAAGTAGAGGTAGGCCCATCATTTCTCTTATCTGTTAATGACGACCAAGGTTCTCTAGCTTTCATATCATCTCCAGCCATATGTAGCTTCATAGAATACCTGTCCCTTGCACAATAAAGTTCCATCCTATGTCTCTCCACTGCACTTATGTCCGCCTTAATAAACTGAAGATCAGTTTGCACCTGTCAAAATAGTTATGAAGAGAATAATTAGATAAATGATCACATAGATATTGAGCTGAAAAAACCAAAACCAATTAGAAAGTTTTTCTTAAATACAGGTTATCAGTGCACAGGTATCCATGACCATTTGCTAAAACTTCCTTCTAGATGATTGCTTACCTCATGCCCTCCTGGTAGTGAGTTCAAAAAACAAATTCTCTCTTCTAACTCTAACCCAAAAATACCTTTTTGCACCTCACACATTGGTATGGACTACTGGAGGTCTACAATAATCATATACCACAACTACAACTAATCACATATGATTTATTAATTGATAAAAAAGGCAAGTACATTTCACAAGCCGAAGTTCAAAATGCCCAAATAGAAAATGGTTAAATAATGTGAAATGCAATAGTCAATTTTAAACAGCATCGTCAATACTGACAACATTCAAAAGATATTACTGAACTAGAGGAAAAATACCTCATTGAGCTCGCTAACTTTTTGCTTCCTCAGGATATGTAAGAAATCTGTTAATATATTCATATTTCTATCAGATTCTTCTTGTTCCATCTTTCTCTTCTTCTCAGAAAGCATTGACAAGAGGGAATCCAACTCCTTAATTGATACATCACAGCCCTAGCAAGAAAATAAGAACACTATAACGCTTACCATTGCTCCATAATGAATAATTTGAAACACATGAAGTACAAAACCTGAATACAACTAATATCACAGAAGCCCAACAATTCAGAAACATTTTCTGTTCATAGGCACGCAAAGGTGTAAATTGAGACCATAGTTGCTAAGATATTAAATAATACTTCCAATTTAAAATTTATGCAAATGCAAATCAGATGTAGTTGGGCCTTGTTGACTAACCTCTTGTAAAGCACGGCGAAAAAGTTCAATGGGGGTTGCAGTTTTTGCTATTTGATGAGCAGACGTCTTCTTCAGTAGCTACAATGTGGTACAGAGAAACCGTATCATGATCAGCTGCATTTTCAAATCAATCATTTCAAAACAAAGATGTCCATGTCTGTTCACTAATATGCATACATTAGATTACTAGAACTAATTTTTGGTTAAAGTAGATGAATAGACATAGAATTAAGCATATTTATCTGATAAAATATTATTCTAATAATTATAAAAGAATAATCATTTTGATTAGGAAAGTAAAAGAAAAACCATATCAATATGAAGAATCAAAAGAAAATGACTGCACAGATTTCAATTGTACTTCAGCACTAAAAGTAGTAGAATGAGATTGGCATCTATATACATGCTTCATAAAATTACAACATTTTAATGTTTGCTATAAATATTATAAAGTTCAATGCTTAAACTGCATCGCCAATGAAATTAATCAAGAATATTAATAGAGAAAACACGCACGCCAAAAAATAAAAAGTATCAATAACAGAGGGTTTCTCAATATGAGAGGAGGATATGACTACATGGAAATAAAGTTCAACTCATTGGCAAAGGCATTAAAATTTAGGAAGCTATTATTTTCACTGAACTAAACTTCCATTAGAAATCGGCATCAGTGATTGCAAATTCACTACCTAGTTTGGGTCAATGATCATTCTTAGATGATTCTACAAGGGAGCTTCGTATTTCAAACATTCAGATCATCACATTGTTATGTACAGCGTCTAATTCTGTAGAGAGACCCAAATTTTCTTATAGGCTAATAAAACACAATCCGCACATCGAAGAGTTAATATCTTACATTGCTTTATAAGATATATAGTACACTTAACTGGAATCTTAACTAAGCCACTCCAAGTATGAAAAATAGGCTTAAGTAACGTAGTAATGCTATAAATCTATATAGACGAATCAATAAAAAATAAAAATAAAAATAAAAAGGAAAAAAAGACTTAGTAAGATTTGTAAGACAAAAATTACTAAAATAATTCGAAGAGAAAAGGTCGACAAAACTAGTAATCTTATTCATTGTCTAGTAACTGATTGTATAAGCTATAAGCACAAAAAAATCAAGGCACATAAACAGCACAATATAAGTATAATGATCGAATGTTTCCTATCTCAGACCTTGCCGGGACATTTGTTCACAATTTTCGTAAATAGTTTGGGAATTTCATCAAGACCGAAAGCAAGAACGAAAATTAACCCAAAGCACAGTATAAAGTCATCAATCGCAACAAACGGTGCATAAAAACTCGAAATAAGAAGTGAATTAAAGAAAACAAACCTTGTCAAGCAAGAAGTTAGGAAACAGCTGGACGGAGGTGAGATGTTGAGCACAGCAAGGGCAATCGCTCTTGTTGCGGAGATGAGTGATGATGCACATATAGCAGAAACTGTGGCCGCAGGCAGTGAGGAACGCATCCCTAATGATCTGCATGCAAATCGGGCAGAGGAAGTCCTTATCCAACTGAGCTGAAGCTTCGCCGACAGTGTCGAGCTCCGCGAGTGAGCAATCGGGAATTGACGGCGCTGAAATCGTCGAAGACAGAGGCTCCGTCTTCACCGCCGGAACCAAGGCTCCGGTTGATCCTTCGTCCATCTACCTTTCTGAGGAACGAGTTGTCTGAATGAGAGCGAAGTAGGAGAGAGAGAGAGAGAGGAAGGGGGAGGCAAAGAGAAGGAGAGAAGGGAAGGACCGAAGGTGGAGAGTGGGACCCATGATAGTCTGTGAAGGCCACAACGCCCCACGCGATCATTGCCGCCAACGACGTCGTTCTGGTTTATACGTTATTTGTGTTGAGCTTCTTATTCCAAATCTTATGTTGACTGTCAGCCCGCCACGTGGGACAATAGAGATTTGGTTTCTTTTTTCTACTTATGTTCACGTGACTGATTAATCACAATAATAATCTAATTAATTACAGTCTAAATTATAATTAATATGTTAATGAAATTTTGGTAGCCTCAAATGTGAACGTCTATAGATGATTTTTAAATATTTATTAAAACAAAATGTTTACCAATTATGAAACAAGCTTGTAAAACTCAATCAATAACCATATTTTAGTATATCAAAAGTGTGCTAAGTAAGCTACTAATATTTAAAATATATTAGAATAAGTTAATTTCACGTATATTTAAATTTATTATATTTTAGTTTATATACTTTTTAGTAATTTCAATAAATGAAATTAGATGTCTATCAATATACAAAAGTACATTTACATTTTTATATTTTTTTCTATTTATTTTAAATGACAATATCATTATTACTTTTATCAATTTTAATAAAAATTAAATCAAGCTAGTAAGGACTAATTTAAAGATTTATTGGGTATTAACTATAAATGTAGACAATTATAAAAAAAAATATATATATATATATTTAAATTTAATCGTAAAATAAAATTTTTATGGAAAAAAACAATAATGAAAACAAGAACTCCCACGTGCGGAAAAATAAAAAGGAAGCAATTTCACGAGACGGTCCATAAGGCCCAATAAACGTGAACCGGAAATAGAAGGTTGTCATGGGCTTCAGGCCCAAATTTTCGTAGAATGAGAGCCCAAGTAATATCATTCAGCCCAACGAAGTAGGTGTCTCGTTATTCATTTTTAAATTAAATAAAATTATTATATCTTAAACAGAAGTATCCAATTTTAATTTGAAGATGAAATTTAAATTAAATTAGAAAAATTCAACAAACACTAGAATTGAAAGACGAAAATAGTTCTATAATAAAAAATAATTATAAAGAAAATGTAATATTGAGTGGATTAATGGTGTATGGAATTATTTTTAATAATTTAATTAAAGTAGTCTCTTACATTGAGCATGAAGAAGAAATTAAAGCTTTTATTAGCCAAAACATAGGTATAATATAACAACAATGGAGGTAGAGAGAAGAATACAACATAAACTAGTTATACAATATATAACATAGGTTTACAAGCTCAGGAGGAATAGACAGAAAATTAAAACATCCACGATTGAAGTCCTAAACACTTGCATGAAAACGACTCGGCGGGTGCAAAAAGTGAGCTCGACCCACGAAGATAAATGGATGGACTTGCAAGGTCAAGAAAAATTTGAACAATTTTCGTGGATTGAAAAGGAAAAAAAAAAGACGTAAAGCAAGAAAAGCTCAGGAGAGATACGGCCGAGAGTTGCATCAAAAGGGAGGTGTAGGGTTTGGGGAGAGAGGGAGAGGGTCAGCCATGGGAGGAGGAAGGAGGAGGTGGGCGGAGAGATGGGGAGAGAAAGAAGGGGTGGAGGAGAGGTTGAACAGTGCCATGATGGGAGAGGAAGGGGGAGGTTAGGGGTTATTTATAATCAGATGGGAAGAGAGAGGAGAGGGTATAATTGGGTGTTTTTAATGGAAAATGCTATCGATGTGTCGTTTTCCACATAGGAAGGGGACAGGATGGATGGTGAGAGTTTGTTTTCTTGGGATTCAACGTTACCTATTCAATGTCAAATGCCTCTCTCTCTCTCTCTCTCTCTCTCTCTCTTATTATTATTTTTTTTCAATGCAAATGTAATTTATTTATTTAAAAATTAAAAATTATTATCATCTTACTTTTTTTTTAAATGTGTAATAAAATTTTGCATGTTTATTAATTTTCTAACCTATATTTTTAATTATAAAGATATTGGATAACAATTGATTAAAAAAATTATTAAAATATGTTATTTTGTGGTCTGGAAGCCCATAATTTCCCACAGTGAAAATGTACCATTTATGTTAGAAAACGACGTAGTTTCAAGGCTGTAAATATGTAAATGAAATTATTTACAAAAATATTTAAATTTCAAAATTTGAAATCTCAAACTTTCATAACAAAGGAAAAAACAACCAAAAAGTTTTCCACAAACAAAACATTTATATTTATTGCAAACTATTGAAAACAACAACATGGGAGGCTGACTGTTCGTTAATTTTTTAAAAATAATAAAAAAATAAAAAAATAATAATAAAAATAAAAAAGTACTTTCACTAAATAGGAAAATGTAACAGGAAATTGGCAAAGCAGTAAGACCCATTTATTGGTTGTTATCAACAAAAAAGAAAAGAGAAAAATACAGATTTTGACCATTCAAAAAGTGCTTTCTGTCTCTAAAATCACTATTTTTCTCTCTGGGGAATCAGAAATAAAATAAACAAAACCCTAGGGACTTTGCTGCAAATAGTTCTTTTCATCAAACTCTATACCCATTTTCTGACAACTATTTTTATTTATTTTTTTACCCAAAAGGGTACAATGGCAAATTTCCACAAATAATAATTTCTTTAAAAAATAAATTATAAAAAAAAAAAAAAAAAAAAACTCTTCCCATTTCCTATGTAATTATTACCTTCATAGCCATTGCAGCGGCAGAGATCTTCAGAATACAATACTGCTCCAATGTATGGTCAATCTCATGTGGCCCTTCTTACATTTATTATTCTCCTTACTCTTTTAAATGCCCCCATCTTTCTAAATTATTACAATATTACCACCCCCTTTATTTAAAAAAGAAATAATCCTCTGCTTTCTCCCTATTAATTAGTGTTTGACTGTTTGGAATCTTTGAATGTGGGGGTTTGACTTCACTATTAACTTTTCATAATTAAACCTAGTTCTTTTTAATAAAACAAGAAATCTCAGGGGGTTTTTGGTAAGAAAAATAGGGTAAAAAGTATAAATATAAGAAAGATGGAGGAGTAAATTTGGAAGTAAAAATAAAAGAGGGGAGGGCACTGAGAAAGTGACAGTAAAGGGAGGTTTAATTGCATATACTTGAGTGCCTTACTGACAGATTTTGAATATGGAGAATTAAGAGCCCGTGAAGTCATCATTACTTATTGCGTCATCCCACTTCATTCTACTTTTTTTATTCCCTAAAATGCCCACTCCATTTCCATCTTATACCTATTTTACTTTTTTTTTTTCTTTTTTTTTTTTTTTTTTTTTTTTTTTTTTACTCCCAACTAATAATAATAATAATAATAATATTAACCAAGTCTGCCCATCATCGTAATAAAATTTTAAAATATAATAATAATATTAATATTAATCAAATTTAATCCTCGAATGGCTTAAAATTTTTATACTAAACGCGAGCGAATGTAAATTCATAATGGGCCTTGACGAGACCTCAAGGCGTGGCCCAATAGGCCCAACTTACATACATCTCAGGCCGTTATGGAGGTTCTTCATTCCTGGTCAAACTTTCAACGTGCAAGAAAAAAGGGAAAAATTCCAATGAACTTATTGCTATTATTCTTATAGAAATTTTAAATTTCGATATTTTTGTCGATATATAATTTTATGTCTATATATTCAACATTTAGAGCTTAGTTATAATATAAAAAAACTAACAAAATATAGTAAAAATAACAACAAGATATCATTAATGTGATTGTAGTATAAAATATTTATTTATTTATTTTGTGATATTTTATATTTATAGTTTTTTCTTGAAAATGGAATCTTATAAAAACAATTTTGCTATAGAAAAAGTTTGAAATCTAAAATGGTATGAAACAAAACAAAAGAGTTTGTGCTCAAAGTGGACAATATCATATTATTGTGTAGAGTCGTGTTCATCTAACATAGTATTATAGTCATGCCTTAAATTTAGCCATGTTAATTAAATCCTCAAATGTCGAACAAAGTATTGTGAGTCTCGAATGCATAATAGAAAATGACTAAGACTCCAATAGAACACTTCGATTAAGGGGAGGCGTACTTTGTTCAAAGAGAAGTGTTGGATGAAAGTCTCATATCGGCTAATTTAGAGAATAGTCGTGAGTTTATAATCAAGAAATACTATGAGACCTTTTGGAAGTGGACAATATGATACCATTGTGAAAAATGTTCATCTAACGTGCGACATAAAGTAGGAGGCAAATAATTTATAAATGGATATAGTTGATGGTTTTATAAGAAATCAAGTGGGCGTGTATGATATTGAAGAGGACATTTCTCTTTTTCATGCCAGCTTCCCTGGTTGCCCACTAGCTTTGATTGATAGCGAAATCTTAAGACCAAAAACAATTCAAACCCAAGACACGCCCGCCGACATTTAAATTTAATTGGGAATCCTTTCAAAGTTGCTTGCCCAACAAAAGCAACACGCCACACCCTCTTTCCTCTAGCCGCCTCTCATAGTGCTATCACTGTGACATCAGAACCAGATATCGAATGATATGACAACAAAACGCTGGATTTTGAATAAGTATATTGTGAGATCCTATGTTGGTTGGAGAGAAGAACAAAACACAATAATATCGGTTAGCATAAGACTTAAGTTGTTACAAAAAAAAAAATTATTTTTGCCATTCATGGTGTTGAAACTTTCATCCTTCAGTATATTTTTCAAGATTTACGTGACTGTGTTTACAAAGAAAATTAAGTGATACTCTATAGTGTGCATGCACGAGACAAGAATGTTTGAATCGTCTTTCGATTCAATAGATGACGTTGAATAGTTCACGGAAGCAAGGTCTAATTGATATCCAAATGACTTGTCACTCAACTGCCCATCCATTTAGTGCTCGGGTACGTCACTTTGAAGCTTACTTTTCAAATTGGGGTAGAGGTAAGCTTAGTAATAATTACATTACATTTGGGAAGGACTATTGACCGCCTTTTATATAATAACGTGCATGGGGTTTAAAATAAAAGGCCAACTTGTTTTTAACTAAGCTTAAAAGGAGA